CTGTCGGTCCCACCATCGATTCCACAATCGATCTCACAGTCAATCTCACGATCGATCTCACCATCAACCCCACGCTCGATCTCCTTAGGGATCTCTCTATCGTTCCAGATCAAACTCCCCATCGATCTCACAACCGTTCCCACTTTCGATCTCATCTCACTACCGATTTCACTATCGATGCCATTATTGGTCTCACCATCGAGATCACAATCGATGTCACATTCGATATCACCATCGATCTTACAACCGTTCTCACTGTCGACCTCACTATCGATCACACCATCGACCTCGTTCGATCGATTTCACAATTATGATCACTATCGATCTCACCATCCAGTTCACTGCCGATATCAGCATCGATATCACCATAGAACTCACTGTCGATCCTCCTATCGATCTCACAATCGATATCACTATCGATCTCTCTATCGATCGCACAATCGATCTCCCTCTCGATATCACTATCGACAGCACCATCGATCCCACGATCGATTCCACGATCGATCTCACGGTCGATTTCTCTACCGATCTCACATTCGAGTTTTATATCGATCTCCCGATCGATTTCAAATAGATATCACTACCGATCCATTCATCGATCTCACAATCTACCCAACTCTCGATACCACTATCGATACCACCATCGATCCAACAGGCGATCTCACGATCGATCTCAATGTCGATCCCATTATCGCTCTCACAGTCGGTTGCAACATCGATCTCACATTCGATCGCACTACGCTCTCACCATCCATCGCACGACCGATCTCACGACCGATATCAGTATCGGTATCGATATGCCTATCGATCCCACTATCGATCTAACTATCAATCTCATCACCGGACACTACGGGACACCACCTGACACCGACGGGACACCGAGGGGTTCCGACGGGACACCGACGGGACACCGACGGGACACCCCGGGAAACCGCCTGCCAACCCAGGGGGGGGGGGCGTGTCTTCTGGTCCAGCCGCGCCCAAGCCAGCGGAGGTTGCATTCCTCTCGCCCGCCCACGCAGTTTCGCCTCGCCCGAACGCGCGACACGAACACGAAGCCGAAACCAATTTTCCGGTAGGGGGGCTTTCCGCTCCACTGCGATCTCACTTCCTCACATCCGACTTCCAGGTGCTTGCACCACATAGCGCACACCGCATAGCGTATGCTACATGTAGTTTGCACCACATTGCTTGCACCGCATTGCTTACAGTCAGATTGCACCACATAACTTTGACCACATGGCTTGCAGCAGGCATAGCTTTTTCTATATAGTTTGCGCACACCGAGGTTGCAATAACTCGCTGTGTTGGATCCACAAGGATGGTTGGTTTACGTATTGGAAGGATCCTGAAGATCAAGGGTCTTGGATGAGTTGCTGTTCCGAGCTCCCGGATGTTTCGGCCGATCCTGTGGAGGTTTCGGTCGAGGGGGAGGGGGAGGAATCAGAAAAGGAGGGCGCGAGGGCAAGGAGGATCTGCAAGAGTGATGAGGAGGAGGATCTGCAAGAGTGTTGAGGGGGGCGGCCCGATCGTCCAGCGGTCGGGGCCCGATCGGCCCCTGCCGCCCGATCGTCGGCCCCGCGAGGCGGCCGACCCGTCGAGGCCTCGGGCTTTCGCGCGTCGTCGCGATGGCCCGCGCGGGAGGCCGCCTGTCTGTGCCTCCCCGTCTCCCGCGCCTGGGGCCGAGCCGGGCGAGAGGCGACCGCACCGAGAGGCCCCACGGTGCGCGCCCAGAGGGCGGCGAGCCGTGGAGGCCGTGCACGTGTGCTGCCAGGTCGTTGGGATTCCGAGCCTGCTTGGCGTCGACGGCTCCGTGCCAAGAGGGGCCTTGGCTCAAGTCGGGCGTGTCCCTCTACAGGAGGAACAGATGCGAAGACAGCGAACAACAGTAGTCTGGGGACGAGTTTCGTTCTCGTATGTGTGGGCGTTTTCGGGACATGTTTGGCGCATTTTTTTCATTCTTCGTCCAGCCTCTGCCTGTAGGCGGACCTGCCCGACCTGCTGCCAGGTCGTCCGGATTCCGAGCCCGCCTGGCGTCGGCGGCTCCGTGCCGAGAGGGGCCCTGCCGGAGCACTCGGCCCAGCGAGGGCCCCCGGGGGCCGGCACGGCGCACACGCGGCGAGTCCTCAGTTCTGCATGGCGTGGGGGAGGTCTGGACTCACGTCGGGCCTGTCCCCATACAGGGGGATTTTTAAAACGACGCGAAGATCGGGACAAAATCGGATCGGGATAACTCGAAATCTCTGAGAATCGGCGGCTTTGGAGGATGTATTGGGCGCCGCGGCCGCTCCAGAGCGTTCCGGAACGCTCTGAGAGCGCTCCGGAACGCTCTGGAGCGATTTATCCCGATCCTAGACATGTTTTAATTTTCGACGACAATATCAAATACACAGAAATTCATCAAAAAATACTCCCAAAATCATCTGGGGACTATTTTTTGAGTATGTTTTTTACCTTTTGGCATATGATTGGGGTATTTTTATTTTTTCGTCGAAAATCCCCCTTGTAGGGGGACACGCCTGAAATGAGTCTGGACAGGAGGAGCAAGAGGACTCCCGGCAACAAATTCATGGGAGCCTGGTGTGTTGGTGGTCTCCAAACCAGGTGGTGAGACACCCGGTGGTGACCCCGATTCCCCCAAAAAATAATTCTGGGTCACCACCGGGTTTAGGGACACGCGGTCGCCACGAGGTTTTGTGTTTCCTGGGCCAGCCAGCGCTCGAAAACCATCACCCAAATCGCCCAAAACTCACCACCGGGTGTTCTCACCACCACGTTTGGGGACCACCAAGTGTGTCGTCGCAGATTGTTCCTGAGAGTGCACTCGCGTGCGCTAGCGTCTGGTTGTCGATGGGAAGAAAGCGCCGATTCAGCGTCGGTGAGCGCTGATGGTGCGTCGACGAACGTCGGTTAGCATCGGCTCGCGTCGGTCACCGTCGTTTCGCAGGAGCCAGCCAGATGGCATGGGAGACCCCCATACATTGCCATAGAAGGAGGAGGAGGAACGAGCCGAGCTGGAAAATCTTTGCTGCCCTGACACGCCCGCTTTGAAACGCACCACGTGCCGTGCTCGAGACGTCTGTGTTCAAACGCTGTGTGTTGGCTCGACGTGCTGGCCCACGCGTTTGCGCGAACGCATCGCGCCAGACGTACGTTGTCAGTCTCCGTGCTGAGGTCCGTGTCAACACGCCACGGGTTGCGTGCTGCGTATCGGGGCAGGTCAGGGTGAGCCACGCGCAGAGGGGGGGGGAGGGGGCAGGGGGGGGGGCTTCTTAGAAGCCCCCCCTGCTTCTCACCGGGCGCATGCCTTACCTGCAGATGCAGAGCCGGCGCCTTCTGAGAAGCAGCCTCCTTTCAAGAAGCCCCCCCCCTCCCACCCCCTACTCCTCTGGATGGGGCAATCATCGCCCCCCCCTTGCCGCCAAGGGGTTGGGCACGTGCTGTCGGAGCGGGTGGAGGGGGGCTTGGAGGAGGAGGAGGAGGAGGAGGAGGAGGAGGAGGAGAAGGACGAGGGGTAGGAGGAAGAGGAGGAGGAGGAGGAGGAGGAGGAGGAGGAGGAGGAGGAGGAGGAGGAGGAGGGGGCGGCATGGGCAAGCTCCGTCGGAAGATTAGTCGCCCACTCCTCATTCAATATCCCACCCAGAGTACCCCCTTGTGCGCGCCGCCGAGACGCAGCGCGGCGGATCGGGGGCGGGTGGCCAGTGCTGCAAAGTTCAGGCGATCGCAAACGTGGATCAGAGGGGCGTGGATTAGCGACGGGCCCCGTCTCCACGGGGGATCGCGGATGTTCGCCGCCGAACGAGGCGGCACTTGCCGCATTTTGGGCAGGGCACCTCCCCCGATTCGTGGATTTGGTGACCGCGCGCCAAATCCGTGGATCGCGAATCCATGTTTGCGCGCCCCCGAAAGCAGCAGCCTCCTTTCAAGAAGCCCCCCCTTGCCCCCCCACCTTCTGCGCGCCGCCGAGACGCAGCACGGCGGATCCGGGGCGGGTGCCCAGTGCTGCACAGAGTGGGGAGGCCGAAGAGTCGGCTGCCGTGGCTGCCGCGGCAGATCGCGGGCGTGACTGGCGGGCCCACCGTGGGGGCTCTGGCCCCGAAGGTCCCCTCGCCGCTGTCGGGGCAGACGGGCTTTGTCGGACGGGGCTAGGATTAAGACGGGCATGCCCCCCTACAGGGGGAATATCCAATCACGGTAGATCCGAATAGTCTGGTGACGATTTGTTGGCAATTTTTGCCTGTTGTTGATTATCTCCTGTCTTATACAAATCATTGTGTAGGGAGACATGCCCGACCTAAGCCTAGCGGGCCCGCCGTGGGGGCTCCGGCCCCGAAGGCCCCCTCGCCGCGGTCGGGGCAGACGGGCTTCGTCGGGATCCCGCAAAGGGGGGTGTGCCCTGGTGTGTGTGTGAGAGAGAGAGAGAGAGTTCGATCAGGTTTTTGCACCGAACCGCCCAAATCAGATGTCCCCCAGCCGCGGGCAGCTCCCCGATAGTTGCCGATTGGTGGGGCATGCGGGGGGCATCTGTTTGCGGCAGTTCGGTGCACCAGCGGATAGAATTCATGCCCCCCTGAGGGTCCCCCCCCCTTCTTGGTGGACCCCGACTTTGTCGGACGTGGCTAGGGCGAGGATAACTGCGTCCCAGAGCTTGCCAGGGCGCCCCCAGAGCCCAGAAAGCGTTCTGGAACGCTCCGAGGAGGCCGCGGCGCCCGAGACGTCCTCCAGAGCGGCCGGATCTCAGAGATCCTCGATCCACCGTCACGCGATGGTATCCTCCCTCTCAGCGAGCGAAGAACGGTATAAGATCAACTTTTTCGCTGTCGGGGGCGCCTGTCCGTGGGCGGCTGAAAAGTTCATACCCCTACGGTGCCACCGTAGGGGTATAAACTTTCCAGACGCCCAGGGACAGGCGCTCCCGACAGCGAAAAAGTTTATCTTATACCTTTCTTCGCCCGTTAACTCTCTGGTTCCGTCTCACGAGTGCGTCGGCGGAGGCCGAGGTCTATCCGCTCCGCGGCCACGTCCGTCTCGGTGCTGTCGGCCGGCGGGAGGCCCTGCGCGGGACGCGGCGAGGGGGACACCCAGCACCTGCGGCTGGCGCACGAGAACGACGCGCTGCGCGAGCGCCTCCGGCAGCTGGAGCTCCAGGGCGAATCGGGGCGCCGAGCAGGGGGGGGGGGGGGGAAATTCGGGGAACACGCAGTGACACAAGCATAAACATTCGGAGGACCGCGCGAGTTTCTTGGGTCGGCGCTGGGGCCCCCTGGCGCGGTCCGCGCGCCAAGGAGGGGGTCTCAGCGCGGATCCGAGAAATCCTTGTGGACCTCCGAGTTGTTCTGTTTATGTAATTGTTTGTTCCTTTTAAAAAAACCTGAGTTGGGCGTGTCCCTCTACAGGAGGCATGTTCGAAAATAGTAAGGGGACGTTTTCGTTACTACTGTTGAGCATGTTTTGAATATTGTTCGACCATTTTTTATTGTTCGTCCAAAATCCTTATGTATGGGGTTCGCCCTTACCTGCTGGAGTGTCCAATAACGCGTATTTCCCAAACCCTCGATACCCGCCCTCTTCGTCTTCGATCAAACCCCTTTTGGGGGGTATACGTTTCTTCCCCGCAGGCCGGGCCCCGGCAAGCGGCGGGGCGGCCGCGGACCGTCGGCCTGGCCAGCGGCAGCGCTGATCGGCGGGGCGGCCGCGGACCGTCGACCCGACCTCAAGAGGGACGGACAGGGGACCGACCACGACGACGACGACGACGTCGACGACGATGGTGACGACGACGACGGCGACGACAATGATGACGACGAGCGAAAGCGAGAGCGAGAAAAAACGACAGCAGGGCCACGAAGGACACGAAGTAAACCACGAAGGGCGACAGCGGGGACACAAAGGGAATGCGTATGGGGCCACGAAGAGCGCGAACGAGCGGGGGCCACGAAGGGCAGATAATGTGGGGCCACAGAAGGCAACGATGGGGCCATTGAGGGTAGCGACGGGCCGCGTAGGACAGTGATGGGGGCCACGAAGAGAATGCACATGGGGCCACAGGGCGCGAACGAGCGGGGGCCACGAAGGGCATACGTATGTTGGGCCGCGGAGGGCAAAGACGGGCCACAGAGGGCAACAACGGGGCCACGAAGGGCAGCGAGGTGGCCACGAAGGGCGACAGCGGGGCCACGAAGGGCACACATATCTGGAGCCACGAAGGGCAGCGAGGGGGCCACGAAAGGCAGCGAGGGGGCCACGAAGGGGAACGAGGGGGCCACGAAGGGCTGCAACGGGGCCGGGAAGGGCTGCAATGGGGCCACGAAGTGCAGCGAAAGGGCCACGAAGGGCTGCAACGGGGCCGCGAAACAAAGGGAGGAGGCCACGAAGGGCTGCAACGGGGCCACGAAGGGCAGCGAGGAGGCCACGAAGGGCTGCAACGGGTCCACGAAACAAAGCGAGGGGGCCACGAAGGGCTGCAACGGGGCCACGAAACAAAGTGAAGGGGCCACCAAGGGCAGCAACAAGGCCACGAAGGGCAGCGAGGTCCCGATTTCTAGGTAATCTGTGAGGGAGTCCTAAGCGTGAGCGCGACCCCTGGATGCCTGGGTGTCGGGATCGCGGCGCTTAAGTAAATTGTTGGAAATTCCAACGCAAGGGCGCTATTCGTCAGTAGACTGCAAGCAAGTCTCCAGCGAGAGCGCGACTGCAGAGCGCCGGGAGAGCGATGCCTGCATAAATTGTGGGGAAGTCCCAAGCGAGAGCGCGATTCCTGAATAACATGCGAGGAAGTCTCGGGCGGGAGCGGGGGTCCTGGCTAAAGTGTGAGGAAGTCTTAGGCGGGAGCCGTTGTTGTTGTTGTTGTTGTAACCCGGGGGCCAGAGGCCCAGTTTGAACATCAAGAGTTTCCATGTCAAAAAAACAGGGTGCGAGCGTCGAGAGACACACTTTGATGGATAAGAACAGTATGCGCGGGTGGGGGGATCAACAATACGTATTCCTCAGAAGTGATAGTTCAACAACAACAACAACAGCATCAGCAACATCAACAACATCATGTTGAATACTGAACACGTATATCCCACCCAAACCCTCGGTGTCCGCCGTCTTCGTCTTCGTCTTCTTCCTATCTTCCTTACCTGCCACGTGCATGTATCGCAGCCGCTTAAACAGGGGAAGAGAGGACGGATGGAACGGGGGAGGGAGAAGGATGGAACACGAGAGAAATCAGCAGCAGGGGGGCCAGGAACAGAAACGACTTGGCAGAACCACACGGGCAGATCGGCTGGGCAGACCCATAGCGGGCGGGTCGGGAAGGCGGGCCCAGGTGGCGCGATCGAGCATGCGGGTTGCTGAAGCGTGCGTCCTGCATGAATCGCGAAGAAGCGTCGAGTGATAGCGCCATCCCCAAGTAAGTCATCAGAAAGGCCACAATCGGAGCGTGATTTCTGGGTGTCGTGGGTGCGGCGTCTGGATAATTTGCGAGGAAATCCCACGCGATAGTGCGACTCCTGCAAAACACTGTGAGGAAGTCCCCCGCGAAAACGCGATGTGGGCCCAAGCGGCCAGCTTGAGCAGGCGGGTTGTTGACGCGTTATTATTGCATGAATCGCGAAGAACTCTTCGGCGATAGCGTGATTTCCCACATAGGTTGGGGGGACATCGAATCTACCGCGACGAAAGCCCACGCGAGAGCGCGATTCTTGTATAAACTTTGATAACGTCCAGGGTGAGAGCGCGATGTGGGAACATATCGTGGCCCAGACCGTGGCCCAACAGCTTGGTTTAGTGGCGCGTTGCTTGCTTTTGTAATGTAATAGGTGTAATTCCTGGGAGAAGCGAAGCAGTTTTTTGTTGAAAAACGCAGCGGTTACCGGGCAGTGGGATTTGGAATCCACTGCCCCTCTGGTCTGATGCAGTTGTATAGGAGGGGGAACAGAGGACGGAGTGTTTACACAGTTTGGAGGAATTCGTGAATTCAGTATGGGTCGGGCTTGAAGCGCCTCGAAAGCGCGCGCCCGAATTGCAATCATATGGCTATATGCGGACCCAGGACAGTTTGCTTCCCGTCGTCGGCCTCGCCCTTGCTCCGTTCCCCTTCCTTTCTTCCCTCCCCTGGATGATGTCGAAAGCGTCCGCGGCTCGGGCGGGGGAGCGCCCCTGACCACCTCCCTCATTATTCCTTGTTCCTCTTTGCTTCCCTGCGCCACCGTCCGTCGTCCTACCTCGTCTTCCATCCATGTTCGAAAAGTGGAGTCCCTGGTGCCGCGTGCCCGCATCAGTGGTATATCGCCTTTTCGATATCCGAGCACAGCGGGGCAACCAAACAGACGCGATTGACAACGCGAGCGTTCGGGGCGCACTCCAAACGTGGGCGGCACGGCCGCCGAGCACAGTCGCATCGCTAACATGTAAATTCTAGGTGCCTGCGGCAAGGCCCGCCCCTTTACCAGCGCAGCGGTCTGTATGGCGACGCGGGGAGTTTTGACTGTTAAGAGGTCCATGGCATGTGACACCTCTCTTGTTTTCGGACTGCTGCGCGGCATTCTTCGGGGTCATTCGAGGCCTTTTCGGGGCATGTTCGGGCCGTTGGGGGTCGCTTTGGCGCCGCGTTTCACCGCGGCCGCCTTGGGCCAGGGAAGCGTGTATTTGCAGTTCCCTCGGGGGCGCACTGGGCCGGGGAAGTGTGTATTTGCATCCCCCCCTAGCTGGGCATGTCGACTTCGGTTCTGGGTTGGCAAAGTCGGGGCACCCTCGAGGTGGCGAGCGTTCACCTTTCTGGAATACACAGATCAAGGTGTGATCTGTGTACACAGCTTGTGTCTTCAACTGTGTATTTTCGTGTGTGTGGGCCCACTGTTTACACAGATCGTGGTGTGATCTGTGTACACAGATCTCGCTCCCATCTGTGTATTTGGAGTGTGCGCCTCGCGGGTGGTGTTGACTGGGCGGGAACTTTCACGTTTTTCGCTCGGCTGGTCCAGGGGGGGCGTCGTACGCAGTCGAAATACACAGTTCGTGTCTCCAACTGTGCATCTGTCGCGCGCCGCTCGGCGGAGTGGTCACTGGGCGGGAGTTTCCGCGAGTTTCCCAGCTGGTCCACCAGGGGGCAGTCTGGGCATGCAAAGGCGCGGGGGGGTGGGATGGTGGGCCGTAGGAAGGGAGGGGTTCGATAGGAGGGGCGGCCAAGAGGCCAGGGATGAACCGGAATGGACGAGAGGGGAGGAAACCGGTTCAGGAGGAGCTGCATCATCGGTGTCAGCATCACAAGGACGAGGGGGGCGGGGAGGGGCACATGGAGGGGGCATGATGTGCACTAGGGCGTCGAGGATGGGAGGAGGGCAGGCATGTGGACGATAGTGGGAACTAATCCGGCGGAGGAGGACGACGAGGAACGACATGAATGGGCACGTGGGGGGTGACAGTGTGGATGAGGGGCATGGTGAGGACTGGGGGTTATCGGAGTGGCATGAGGAGAGTGGGGCCTAAGCGAAAGGATATTGGAAGGCGGCGGGGGATGGGGCATGAGTTCGAGGCGGGCGCCAGCTAACGATTAGCTGAACAGTGTCCTGCGTGTGCGTGCACCCCCCCCCAGAACACAGTGACCGGTTGCAGAACTTCATGATATGGGTAACCGTGCGCGTCGTGCGTCCAGCCCAAAGGCTCGAGTCCACGACGCCCCTTGGCGTCGCGTTGATGCCGCCCCGATTTGCCAGACCGCATATGCAGAAAAGGCACAATATGTGTTTGAAAGTTTGTTTCATGACCCTTTCTATAGTAACAGACCCACGTTGGAAACCAAAGTGGGATCGACAGTATTTACTATTCAAACATGGTGGTTACATACTGATTTTACCCGACTGCTTTATGTTTCTACATGCGGCATGCTTCCATCATGATAGCTATCCCCCATGGGGGGTATTTTCTTGCACAGAGGGTCCGATATTCCCTTGCCCAGATCCCCCGCCCGATGGGGATCTTGACAACACCTCTTCCGAGGCATTTCTACATGTCTAGCCCGGATGGCACATCGACTTCGCAATCGCCTTGCCAATGCCTTGTGTCTAGATCGGACCACGCGCGAGAGGCCCAAATTGTTTCGCGAGAGGCCCCTCGGACTCTGGGAGAGCCCCCGGGGCCCCTTGGACAGCCTT